ACACACACACACACACACACACACACACAGTCTTTACATGCTTTACACTGACTTTAATATGCACTTTTTTAAGAATAGTTCATAACACAGAAATTGACTTATTCAGCATTCAACAAGACTTTATTTACATTTATATAAATGTGTGGTGAAGGTATGTATTTTACACAGAAAAAAACACACATGTATATATTTATTTTATGACTACTATAGTTTCCTTAAATGGTCCTGTAGGGTGCCAGTATTTTTTAAGCACAGATATTTAATGTAGTGTCAAAATTAATATGAATCATAAAAATATTGTTGAAATCATTTTAGATGAAGTAATTGCTGTCACTGATCAACATCATATCTTTTAACAGACATCAATTCACACCGTTATGTAATCGTCTGTCAGCTGGGTGAAGGAAGCTTTGGAGCCGTTTATGCAGCGACTCGTTTGGAGGATGGCCAAAAGGTATCAGTTTTCATTACTATCTCGAATAGAATAACTTGATAATTATTTTTGTCCTGTATTATAGTCATCTGACTAATGCAAGCACGCTAAATTGATCTTTTATTTACTATTTAAAGCACTTAAATTGTCAGACCTGTTTAGACATGCTCTACATGTTTTTATTTAGATTCATGAAAATGTACATGTCTATTCAGGGCTAATGTTTGGAACGTTGTGAACTCTGCTGACGAATGAATTGTAACTCTTACAAACCTCGTTGTTGTTTTGTTGATCAGGTGGCGATAAAAGTCGTCTCCAGCAGGAACACAAAGTTCATCAGCATTGTAAGTAGGCTGTGTTCTCTCTGGTTCTCCTCGTAGTCATTTTCAAACATCTCATATGGCAATCTTCCATTGTCAAGAGTTTGTCCAGGACTTGTTTAAGTCCTATATCTGTCTAACCATCATAACAACTGTCTTTCTTCTAGGACGGTTATTCCAAGCCTCTTCCTCTGGAGGTTGCTTTGCAAATTCTTGCAAACGAAGGCCCCAGGGTAGAGGAAATCATCCAGCTTCTGGACTGGCGGGTGGAGCCTGACCACTACATTTTGGTGCTAGAGCGGCCCGTTCCCTTTGAGGAACTGAACTGGTTTCTCCTGCAGCAAATGGTTACCATTCAAGAGGACGTGGCACGAGTTATAATGCGCCAGGCAACATTCGCAGCTCAAACATGCTGCCGACGTGGAGTGTTGCACCGGGA